AAAAAAAAAAAAAAAAAAAAAATTCAGTAGTCACTGGGATTACAGGTGTGCACCACTTGCCTGGGTGTCAAGATAATATTTTGATATAATATATATTTTTTTCATCTGTGAACAAAGTATGAAAAAAAAATTAAAGACAGGATCAGTGATGGAATATGCTGAGAGGCCATGTTGGAGTCAGAGGTCAAAGGAAAAGTCAGTCTTTTTCCAGGCCCTGGTGGCAGAGTTTGATTCTTCAACAATATGTTGTGCCTGACACTCCTCTGGGTCCTCGGAACACTGCCGGGAACAAATTAAGGGTCTCACCTCCCAGGGGCTTTTGTATGTGCTGTTGATGTGGACAGCTAACTGTTTTGTTTTTGTGGTGCTGAAAAGCATGTGGTCTATCCCTCAGCTATACACCCAGCCCTGCTCTGTCCTGACCTGCTCTGAGTTGGTTCTGGCAGGGCCTGTCTAGTGCCCCTGGATGGGACTGGAATTACCCAGATTTAGTCTATGATACCTCACAGGTGATCCCTGTTTCACTGGTTGAATGCAGTTTCCTGGAACCCGCCCTTGGCATGGGTATCAGGTAGTTCTGGGATGCTGTCCACCAGGTAGGATGAGGTTTTGTCTTCCTAGAACTGGATCCACCTTTCCAAAGACAAAGATAAGTTCCCTTGTCCCCACACCCATGCCTTAGACTGCAGAGAACTAGTCTTCTTACAACACAGTTTCTATAGCTTCTCATCTGAATTTTCAACCACAGGCATTTCACCTGAAACCCAGGTGACTGGCTCTGAAGCACAGACCCAGGGATACCAGAGGGGGAAATCCCTGCGGCCTCCAGTATGTCCCTTTAACTCATCCTTGGCAACTGGTGCTCAGATGGGGCCCTGGGGAAAGGAAGGAGCAAGACAGGGAGGGAGGACTGGCCAGAAGGGTGGCTTTGAGAGTACCAGAGGAAGCCAGGACTGAACCAGAGGGCCTGAGACCCCAACCTGGCAGGGTTCTTTTCAGGAAAGAAGACCCTGGGCTCTTCTGAGACAAACACGAGCCTGAGGTTTGAAGGTTAGTGACATTCATGTTTGGTGGCCACGGTGTAGCTCCCACTTTGGGCATTTTTCTTATGTTTCCCAATCTCTCTCTGAAGTACCCAAATTCAAGAGGTAGGTGCTGACACCAGAGAAATGCAGTGATTTTCCTAGGGTCACACGCACAGTCAGGATTCCCGTCTCAGTTCTGTACCCCAAATCCTATGCTTTCTCCTGGCTCCTCCCTGGTGGTGCAGGCAGTGTAGAAATCAACACACTGAAAGAATATAGGGGCTGTTGACTTTCTTTTTCTCTACCTGGAATGTGATCTTTTGAGGGGTGGGCAGCCTCTTCTGTGTTGCTGGGTTTGGAGGTGGGCAACCTCCGTGTCAGTTTGGTGGGCTACTCTTCCCCGCAGCTGGCCTTAAGCAGGTGCCTTCCACTCTCAGCCTTTCCTCTTCTAGGTATGGGGCCAGCAATGCTGCCAGGAAGCTGGGGGGAGTAGGGAAAAAGGTGTTTTTAAAGAGGCACTGCAAAGGGATGTCACAGTTTGTTTTCCTTTTCAAAATACCTACAGGGTTTACATTGTTTTCACRATAGATAATTGAATTTGAACACTTGAAGGGCAAAGGACGCATGCTCAGAGATGGTGTTTGTTGGAGAGAGTGGAAGCTGTTGCTGGGTTGGCTCAGGTCCCATGGGGCTCTTAGCCAGTGGGGACAGATCAGTGGTTTCAGTGGATGAGAGCCCAGCCCCAACTACTGGAAGAACTTGGTTAAGTTCTTTCCTGATTGTTCAAGCCAGGGGTGGGGAGAGGAGTCACACTAGGAGGGATCTTTGGGACCATCTGATACGCGGTTTCCTACAGATCAAGAAAAAAGCCCAGGGAGGGGAAGGACTTGATCAAGGTCTCAATCCAGGTGGGCTGGAATTGAGGACCAGTTTCTTTTTTGATGACCTACCCCCTCCAGCCGATGTCTGTTCAATGCTGGGTTGGTTGGAGTGTGCGGGAGGCAACCCGGGGGTCAGGCGGACAGCTCTCGTGGGAAGAGGACACCGCTGGTCCCAAAGCGCTGAAAAAGGGATCCAGGTGGAGCAAAYGTGGACTGAGCCATGGAGGTTGTGAAACCACCTGCGTGACAAAGGACTGGCAATTGAGGCAGGGCGTGGGGTTGGATCATGAGAAGGGCCTTGATAACGTGAGGGCAAGGCGTTTGGCTGTCACCCCGTGGACTCTTACTAGACCAAGCAGTCACCCAGGTATGTGCGGAACTCCGCATGTCCGGAGTTGGGCCGTGGGCCGGGCCGGGCCGGGTATGCTGGTCCACAGCACCCCCTGGTGTTCACCTCCCTTATGGCCGCGTGACCGTGCGCGGCTCTCTCCAGCTGATCCTGCACACCAGATCAGTTCCAGCCGCTTTCCATCTTTCCAAAGCCTCCAGCGCCTTGGTCAAGGAATCACGTTCAGTTGTGTGTCAGACCCTTGCTGGGCTCTTTGCCTGCCCTCTTGTTATCGGCAGCCAAACCAGGAAACCTGCCTGGATTGTGGCTGGCCGTGGACTCGCATAAGAAATAAGGATGTAGGGGCTGGGGATGTGGCTCAAGCGGTAGCGCGCTCGCCTGGCATGCGTGCGACCCGGGTTCGATCCTCAGCACCACATACCAACAAAGATGTTGTGTCCGCCGAGAACTAAAAATAAATATTAAAAATTCTCTCTCTCTCCTCTCTCACTCTCTCAAAGAATAAAAAAAAAAAAAGAAAT